TTCCGTAACTTTTAAGTACCGCGCCACTTTTGGCACTTTTGGCACTGCAGTTACACTCTTTGGTGGCTTGGGGTCCGGTAATGGGCGATTCGTGCTCTGAGGGTTTTCTCTCATTTCAGGTATCTCACGTGGGACTTTTTGCAGGTTACACTCTTTGGTGGCTTGGGGGTCCGGTAATGGGCGTGACCGAGTGTGGGACCTGTACCTATTATTCCTGCTGGGTTGTACAGTGCAAGATATACAGTATACAGACGTTGGTGCATTGTGTGTTGTGCGTGGACTCTATGGCATTCTACATTGCCAAAGGGTGGGTCTAACTTACCACTTTCACTCGTCATGGTTCTTTCTTGTGAACTTGCAAGTGACGTGATTTTATTCCAGGAAAACTTTTTTGGTTCAGTTACAGAGGTCGTTGTACATCGTTACGGCTGGGTCAGAGCGGAAGTGCGCATCCCCGTTACGGTCGGAGCTGGAAAGAGCGAGTAATCTGCGAGTTTAGAAGAAAGTATGGGTGTCAAAATGTAGGAAATAGTTTAAGCTTGACCTGGTAACGGGATTTGACGACGTAGAAGGTCAAGTTGGACACATCCTCACACTTCTCGTACTTGGGAGGGTTGACCTGTCCGACCTGCTCCTTCTTGAAGTCCTCCTCGCCACTGGGAAGCTTGACTGTTACCAGCTTGTTCGGTAAAGTAAAGTATAGTAAAGACAAGGACACAAAAATTTACCACCTCAGACCTCCACACACACCTAGTGATGTACAATACTAAAGGTGTCCTCTAAACCTTTTTTTTGTGCGTGTATATACCTTTATGTTTGTGTGAGAATGCACTCGCGTGTGTGCATGCGTACTTGTGTTTGTGTGTGTATAATATGAGTGTAGAAATATTTGCTGTAATTCATATATCAAGCGTATTATGCATGAGATACGTCTGTCATCAAAGGGCATTACGAACGTCGACACATACAAATTGCGTCCCGCTTTTTCTAGTGAAGTGTTTTGGAAACGGTTTACGACGCATTAAACACTCAGTTAAACGTCCTCATCACCTTGACCTGGCGAATTTCGGAGATACGAAAAGCTTAATCATTACACATCGCTTATCTGTTGACCAGTTTTATCCAGTCAATAACGTTATACCGTGGATTGCTATTACTTAAAATAGAGCTTGATGATAAAAGAAAGAAAGAAAGATAAGAAGGACCGCCCCTTTGACTGGGTCATGTTACTTTAAAAGATCCAAAATATACTGATAATGGACGGAATTCAAATGAAGTGACGGGGTTTTTGTTTTGGCCTGATTGGGTCCCATCAGTCACGCCACTACAGATTCTTCTTATCTGCGGGAATACCCAGGTCTCTCTTTCGACGCCATGGACGTGATAGTGGTCACCAAGGGCAGCGTTGGGGCGATAACGAAGGGGTATAAAAGACCCAATCATTGTACAGGTTTTCACTCAAATCAAGGACTCAGAGCTTTGAACAGACTCCACCTGGAACGGTTTTTAACGCTGCATACAAGGTGAGGACCAGCAACTACTTTTTAAAGACATCTTGATTGTTGAATTGTTTGTTTGACACATCTGTAATATGTTCTGCAGTGACTATGAATAATTTCACTTCGCTACATCGACAGAAAGATGGCCAGCACCCTTTCTCGCGCTCTTCCCCGTCTCGTCTCTTCCCTGCACACCACGCCCATCCTCAGGCGCCCACGCTCTCACAAGACCCTCGCCAGGACCATCACCAGCTTCCACGGCCTGCAGGGTCTCGCACAGCCATGGCGGGTAAGACTATGTACGCTGCTTTGCTTGCTCGGACTTGAGACAAAGCTGAGCTGAAAAGGCATGTATGCATATGTATGTATATATCTATAAAGAGAAACCAAGAAGCAATGTTAAACGCTAACGCCATGCCTCTCTCCTTTAGGTACCGACGGAAGAGGCTCCTGAGCTGGTGGAGAGCGGGGAACTGGCGCTGCACTTGGAGGCCCTCCAGCGCTGGCACGACGAGGCCGAGCTCCTAAGGGAGGTGCGAGTCCTTCCTCCGGGCGTTGACGACCAGATCAACCTCGAGGCAGAGACTCGAGGCCAAGTCAAGGACCTGATGGAGAGTCTGATTGAGGAGGAAATCCTGGACATCCGTCGGGGTTGGGTCCTCGCCTCCAACTTTTAAGGCCTTCCGTAGTTCCATTTCACTTCCTGGTCTCGCCTCTCCTGCCTGTTTCGTCTGTACCTTGAATGCGTAGTTTTAGGATACAGTGACTGTAACTCTCCTCTGAGTTACTGATGAAAGGTTTTTTCTTTTGACAAGGGACATTTCCCTATATAATGTTTGTGTTGTAATGACTCAACCCATGTTAAACTATAAAAAGGGTTGTTAATTGAGGATCTGCTTTTATACTTATGTGACTGCGATTTTGTCGATATTGAACAAAATATCTCATTTAGCAAATAAAAGACTTATTACTGAATTTGACAAATAAAATACTTGTATGTATATCTAGTATTTCTGAACATTCCTCATATGAATCTTCTTGACTCCAAACTAAGTTAATGAAGGACATGTCGCCTTCAGAATCTCAAAAAGAATACCTTGGCTTCCAACTCAAGTGTTACTTCATTGTTGCATGGAACAGCGAATCGGCTTTTCCATTACCACTAATTTGCATGGAGTTGAAGATAAATTTTGGATTAGTTATGATTTCAAATTAAACAATGATGGACGCTGAATCAACTCCCTTCATTTTGCTGCCTTCGTCTGGTACCAATTGGTACCAATCCCAGTGTTCAGTCTCTTGAATCTATCGACTGGACACTTTCTCGAGGTCCTTCGGCACATCCTTCTAGACAGGAGGACATAGCCTTCTGAGGAAGGCCAGGTCCTGCTTTCGCCTCTCGGTCGCTGCTGTTGGACAGTGAGGGACCTTGAGGCCTCTCCCTTCCACTGCAGGCCTCGAGGGTGACCTGCGTTTCGTTTCAACCGAGCAGTAAACACATCATCCATATTCATGACATGGAGAAAAGGATGAAAGGAAGAAGAGAGAGAGAGAGAGAGAGAGAGAGAGAGAGAGAGAGAGAGAGAGAAGAGAGAGAGAGAAGAGAGAGAGAGAGAGAGAGAGAACCCCTGTGAAAGGCTTCGACATCAGATTCGTTATCAGCCACTTCTTCGATAGTAGTCACTGACCAGCTTGGGCAAGTCCGGAACATGTTTGCGATAAGACGACCCCGATAACTTGTTTTTGTTCCTTAATATGGACTAGGAGCCTCGTTTCTGTGCACGTATGAACACACTTTTAAGAAAGATGAACATTGCATAAATGACGAACCAAGTGGAATATAGATGGAATAAACGCAAACATAGATAATCAAAGCTCAGCGTCAATTGACTGCTTAGTCGTACTATCTATAAATAGTCATCAATTTGACAGTCCTTACAGTCTAGAGCAAAGATAAAGAGAGTAATTAAACTTGAGCTTAGTTTTTGAAACGGGAACACAGTATAACCCTTGAGATCAAAGCCTCATGTAGAAATACCAAATCTGTGCAGACGAACGAACACACATGATCTAAATAAAAGGAAGGGTTTACACAGGAAGCTTAGGCGGCACACACACACACACACACACACACACACACACACACACACACACACACACACACACACACACACACACACACGTTTACAGATAATTTTTTTCAGAAAGTCTAGTATAATCTTGAGAATCGACACAAAATAAGTACCGTTTCATGTTACCTAACCAAAAGCTACGAGAAAAATTAACTCAATCCATCCAGCGTAACCTACCCAAAAGCCAAAGCAGACGAGAGTTACATACAAATTCAGGTATACAGATTTTGAAAAAATTAACTCAATCCATCCAGCCTAAATCGGGAATCAATGATTTAAGGTATTCTAATATTTTCTCCCATTACTGGACACATGGAAAATCTGTCTTTATATAATCTGTCAACCCATTTATCCATCTGTCGACCTATATATCTATTTATCTGTTCATCCCCCTGCCCATTTATCCATGCCTTTATATTTCCTTGTGTATCAGAGTTAAAGTTTGACTATCTATAAAACTCTATTCCATTATCCATTTGCCTGTATAATCACTTGCATTCAGACTTGTCTATCCACCATGCATCTACATACAGGCAATGGGAAATGTGTCTGTGTATGTATCCCTATACGTTAACAGTGCATGTATGAGTATGAATGCGTACACTTTTGTGCATGGACCTTTATATTGGTGTATATTCCTCCAAAATTAAAATTCGATACTAAGACTTTTAGCTCTAAAGACACAATCTATATTTGTCTCGCCAAGTGTGTGTCGCGTCCCCGTTCCCCTCCCGTGCCCACACCTAATAAAATAACCAATAAAGTACAATTCTACCTCAACCTCTGTTAATGACTATGGTAATTCGTTTCTTTACAATAAATCTCATTTTTGTTGGGCGTGGAGAGGCTGGGGGGGGTGAGGGTGAGGGGTTCAGAGGGGGGGGAGGGCGCAGAAAGAGCATACAACTCTCGTAATTCTTCTTCTAAGATTTCATTTTCGCCAAGGCACTGCGTGGGGTCCCTCGCGAAATTGTAGTGCAAGATGTATCGTCGGTCTTTACAGTTTTCAACAAGAATACATAAAATGCACATAACTATATTGGAGACAGTAATGGCACACACGGATACACAAGCGCACAAACACATACGCACACACATTTCGTTGGAGATAACGCTGTCAGTATAAAAAGATGGCTTATCGCGCCATCTCTGAGCTGGTCACATAACCCATCCGAAAACACACGGCATTCGTGCAATGTGAGTCTCACTTACTGGGCTGTTCTCTGTGTTCGTAAGAAATCTATATTGTTTACTACATTCCGGTGAAATACAAGTGCCTCTGTTAGTGATGGCATATTGTTTTTTTTCCTGATCTCATAGGTACTTCTGTATAACGCCTTTTATCATTTCATGGGCAGAAAAACAAAAACAAAAAAATGGCCAGCACTCTGACCCGCGTTCTTCCCCGTCTCGTCTCTTCCCTGCACACCACGCCCATCCTCAGCCGCCCACGCCCTCACACGGCCCTCGCCAGAACCATCACCAGCTTCCACGGCCTGCAGGGTCTCGCACAGCCATGGCGGGTAAGACTGCACTGCATTTGTCTTGCTCGCATGTTATGCATGTATCTATCTATCAAGAGAAACAAACTAGCAATGTTAGGTGCTAACGCCATCTCTCTCTCCCTTAGGTACCGACGGAAGAGGCTCCTGAGCTGGTGGAGAGCGGGGAACTGGCGCTGCACTTGGAGGCCCTCCAGCGCTGGCACGACGAGGCCGAGCTCCTAAGGGAGGTGCGAGTCCTTCCTCCGGGCGTTGACGACCAGATCAACCTCGAGGCAGAGACTCGAGGCCAAGTCAAGGACCTGATGGAGAGTCTGATTGAGGAGGAAATCCTGGACATCCGTCGGGGTTGGGTCCTCGCCTCCACCTTTAAGGCCGTAATTCCATTCCCGACGCCAGTGTTCCATGTCAGTGAACTTACTTCGACCTTGACTGTTCACTCTCAGGAAGGAAGCTGAACACAGCATGCTGTTCGGGCGACACCAGGGGCTCTCCCTTGAAGCCCCCGGCCACGAGCGACGACCGAAGCCAAGCGCCTTCCACCTCGACGACGAAGGCGCTGTCACGGTGGACGAGGATTCACTTCCTGGTCTCGCCTCCTGCCTGTCTCGCCTTAAATGCGTAATTTTAGATACAGTGACTGTAATTCTCCTTTGAATTACTGACATGATTGATCTTGACAAAGGATTTTTATGTAAAGTGTTTTGCAATGACTGCAACCCACGTTAAAGACAAGAAGGGTCGTTAACAGAGGATCTGTTTTTTATACTTATGTGACTGCGATGTTCTGTCGCTATTGAAGAAAGTATTCTCATTTCAAGAAGAAAATACTTCATGTTTATCTAGTATTCATATATATCCTTATCCAGTATAATAAAGTGAACGATAGACAGACAGAGAAAGAGAGAGAGAGAGAGAAACAGAAACGCATGCACACAGAAATGATAATGAGAAAAGATAGAAAGAGACTAGGGGGGGGGGGCAAACAGACACACACTAGCACACATGCGCACACACACGCTGAGAAATGAGAATGAAAGATGAAATAGAGAGAATGATAGGAGACTGAGATAATGAGTAAGAGAATAAGGATATGAGAAAGATGTATATATATATGTAAATGTATATAGGAAACATGGCATCATAATCAAACTGATTATCAGGGCCGCTGTCGACAGCGCTCACAGTCCGAACCTCAAGGGCGTGACTTGTCTGGAGCAAAGATTAAAGTGATGGAAATCCAGATTAATCTTCAGTGAGGGAAACAGGTTATTTATATCCCAAAAACTGCGTCCCGGAACATCCAATCTAGAGAAGGGTGGAGAGGATGTGCTGTGTAGTACATGCGGGAAAGGTAGGCGTACATACTCACGCGAATATATACGCATACATACACGTGAATCTTTTAACGAAGCTGTATTTATATCATATTACTGAAATATGTATAATAATGCTATGTTGTGTATTCTCTGTTTTTCGCATTGCCATCCGTGCACCTCTCCTTCTCACACCACACTTATGTCCCTACTTCGTTCTGGACTGTTCAATCCCAAGAAGGAAGCTGAACACGGGGGGGGGGGGGGGTGTTCAGGCCACGAGCGACGACCGAAGCCAAGCGCCTTCCACCTCGACGACGAAGGCGCTGTCACGGTGGACGAGGATTCACTTCCTGGTCTCGCCTCTCCTGCCTGTCTCGTCTGGACCTTGAATGCGGTTTTAGGATACAGTGACTGTGACTCTCTTCTAAGTTACTGATGAAAGTTTTTTTCTTTTGACAAGGGACATTTTCCTATTAAATGTTTGCGTTGTAAAGACTGCAACCCATGTTTAGAGATAAGAGGGTTCTTAATTGATGATTTGTTTTTCTAGTTATATGACGACGATTCTGTTGCTATTGAAAATTTATCTCATTTAACAAATACACGTTTAACTAGTATCTCTGAAAAGGCCTATGAATCTCTCCTTTAGACTTCAAAATAAGTTAATGAAGGACATGTCATTCAGAATATATTCAGGAATAGCTTCACGAAAGGACATTTTGCTAACCCCCTTTCATTTCAAATGTTACTTCATTGTTGTGTGGAAATTAAATTGAACGGCGGCTCTGCTTTTTCATTAGCACTGATTGGCTTAGATTTACAGATCAACTTTGAATTTCTAGATAAACAATCGTCCAGACAGGCTGCGTTCGGTTCTGAGGAAGGCCACGTCCTGCTCTCGCCTCCCGGTCGCTGCTGGTGGGCAGTGAGGGACCCTGAGGCGTCTCCCTTCCTCTGCCTCGACGCTGACCTGCGTTTCATTTCTCAACCAGGCAGTAAACATGTCAGCCACATTCATGACATGGAGAAAGGGAAGGAAGGAGACAGA